TTTTTTTTGTAAGATGGACCCAGAAAAAACTTAATGAATTAATTAATTAATTTATGTAGCTTTTTAATTTTTTATCACAAGTACACTTAAGGAATCTTTAATAGAGTTATGTAAATATAATATTGTTTAGTCTGTTTTGAATTTTATTAAATGTTTGTATTTATTGAATGTTGAATCTGTATCCATTATGGAATAGCTTTAAAGGCAACAAACTTAAATACTGCTACTAATATTAAAAACTTATATTTAGGGCTTTATTGAAATTACTTGCTTTAAATATGATTACTAGTAATAATTTTTGCTTAGAAAGCACTATTTAAAATAGAAACAAAGTTCTATATTGGCGTATACCTAATAATTTTGACTGTAATATGTGAAAAAATATTTATTTAAATTTTGCGATTTAACAAACAAAAACGAGCACTTACTAAATTCATAATGTATAATGTGAGACAGGAGTAGGGTATGATAAATCGAAATGGAATCGAGATCGCGATTCGACAGAAGCTACAATTGTCATGCGTATCTTTCAGTGAAGCACGGTTCTGTGATCAGCAGTAAATCTCCATCCAAAGGCCAGAGGGCGCTCTCGCGCTGAAACTCCAAATACGCCTCGCAGAAGAAACCCAGAAAATGCCTATCTCTGCAGCGGAATAAACAGAAGATTCAACTGCTTTCATTGATTCAATGTGAATAATAAACACACGACTACGGCAATATACGGTTTATCTGAGTTTTTATTATTATAATTTTCATTAAAATAAAGTATATTTATAATGGAATGCCTTTATCACTGCTTAAATACTATGAAATATGTTGCGTGCCTTATTCTGTGTAAGAAGCCACATCATCTCACAGAAGCATTTATTTCAAACACTCGACTGACGTTATGAAGTGAGTTTGGAGTAAAAATATGTTACTAAATGTGGTATTTTCACATGCTTTCAGATGGAGCAGCATTTACTTCACAGAGCCGTAGTTCACTGAGAAGCTGTGCAAACAGCTGTCATTATCGCCAACGATTTCTTCGATTTCAGAATCGCGCGATAAAATCGTCTGCGATTTTTTTGCATAACTTGTCAGTGAACTACGGCTACGTGTAGTAAATGCTGCTCCATCTGAAAGCACGTGATGATGATTTCCTGCTGATTACAGAACCGGCATTACTATCAAAATGCGCATGACAATCGCATTCGATTAATCGTGCAGCCCTAGATAGGAGTGTGTGTGTGTGTTTTATCCATGACTCAGTGTTCCAGAGTTCTGCTCTCTTTGTTGTAAAGAGGATGGGCAGCACAGGAAGTGCTCCTGTTCGCTGGAGCCAGACAGGAAGTTGATGGGTAGGTCTGAAGCCAAAGCAGGAAGTGGTGGCTGTGACCTGCAGGTGACATGAGTTAGGAGTAATTGTATGTGTGTGTGTGTGCGTACTTTCATGCTTACATGCCGAAACAGACCTTGAACCGGAGATCGGGGAATGTAGTCCGCTGCTGTGGGGTCGTGGGCAGGAAGTGATGCAGGATTTGGGCATGACTTTCTATTTCTGAATTCATTTTTCTAGCGACTGCCCGTGTGTTTAGACACGTGTATTCATTAGTTTGTAACGGACATGGTTTGAAGGACGTAGCTAATATCTGATGCTTCCCTCTCTGTTTTTCCGCCAATCTATATCATCAGCGTTCCATTAAAGACAGTGAAAACACTCCCTCAGGCGGAATGAGCGAGGGAAGTGTGCTACAGTTGAACTTTCACAGCAGTACTTTAGCCTGTCTGTTGATATACTCTGCATTTAGTGGAATTTCATTGACTTCAGTCACTTACTCAGACTTAAAGCACAGCGTCAGGGTTACCCATAATGCATTTCAATTAGGCCTTCCACCATTTTTGCATCTTTCCTAATCACAGGAATTTGTTAGAACAGTCATATATATGTAATTTTTTTTTTTTTTACATACTGTATGTAAATTATTATTATTCATGTCATTCTGTCCCTTAAAGAATCAAGCAATAAAATGTATGATTATGTTTTCGTAGGATGAAGGTGTATTAAGCTTATACTGTAAGTGTCTTCAGCAAAAAGACCGTGATAGTTCTGGATATAAAAATGAATGAACGAATTACAACAGTAATAGTTGTGTTTTATAATAATTTATGCACTAAACCAAAAAGTTATGCTTTTAAAGGTGGGGTAAGCGATTTTTCAGAAAAGCTTTGGAAAACTGATTCGGGCCGAATAGCAAAACAAACTTTTAGCCAATCAGAAGTAAGGGGTGTGTCTACTCATGATGTGGAGGAGAGAGAGTTCAGTGCACAGGATGGACATTAGCCGAGCGACGACAGAAAGATAGAGATTGCAGATAAAAAAACAAAAGAGGAAAACGTCTGCGGAACAAAAGAAGGCTTAAGGCAAGAAGTAGGACCCGTGTAAATATCGGATCAGCTTTTCAGCGCTGGAGAGAACTCAAGGAGCGGAAGGCCTGCGATCGGACGCCGAGGTTGCTTTGTTTCTTCTCGATAGGTGATTAACACCGTGTCTGTGCCGCAACAGCTAAAGTCTGTCGAGTACACTGGACGCGACAAAGCAACCATTGAAAATCATTTGAAATTTGTCTCAATACGTCATGAATAGAACGCAGCAGCAGTTTTCTGTCGGGGATTTGTCGTGTCGTGCCGCGCCACATCCAGTGTAGACCATAGATATGTATATATATCTATGGTGTAGACAGCACTACTGATTATGAGTTCTGTAGTATTTTGTTGCGCCGCGCCACTCGCGTCCGGTGTAGACATGGTGTAACATTGATTTTGCTTTGTTTCACAGAACTAATCGTTGCCTGGCTTGCGTACGTATGTGTGGGGCAGAGCTATCAAAATAGGGGCAAGACCCTTTTGGGGTAGGGGCGTGTTTGTTTTTTTTGTGATTTCAAATGTCAACATTGGCTACCAGAAATCACTTACCCCACCTTTAACTTAATATAATTTTTGTAATGTTAAGGAGTTTTGCAGATGAAACCTTGTTGATCCAGTGCTTTCTGATCTTTTACACTAATTATTGTTTTAATCTACTAAACCATTGAGAGTTTAGAAACTGGTTTGAGTTCTTGTTTGCAATGTAGCTCGCTTTGGATAAAAGCGTTTGCCAAATGCAAAAATGTAAATGTATTGTAGTATATGAAAGATACTCTGTGGATTCTGGTGGTTGTTTGTAGGGTTATTGTCGATAACTACCATAAAAAAAAATTCTTGGAATGTTTACTGTGGTAAAAAAAAACACAAAAAAAACTTAAGTTTATTTTATTTCAGCTAGATGCCACAAAATAATTTATTATTTTATTTAGTTTAAGCTGAATTGCAAAATAACAAAAAAAAATATATATATTTCTTTAAAAAAAAAAAAAGTCTAAAAATGACTAAAACTTACATTTTAAATGACAATGGAAACTAAAAAAAACCATAATATTAACAAAAAACGTTACAGTGTATCAATGATACTATAATAATAGTGATTGTTAGTCATCACTGCATGTAAAATCATCCTTTTAATTGCACAATAATTGGTCTGAGTCATAGCTACATTACCTTTGTGTGACACACCCATCTACACACTCAGTATTGTATTGTAGAGATTGACTGGTGAGTGCTGGTGTGTAATATGGATCTGTAGTATGGATTTTAGTTGTGGTTACTGTTAAACTACTACATTACCCACGCTCCACTGCTTTTTCTGTCAGCCTACAGGCCCTAATACACCCACCATGCGTGTGTGTGTGTGAGGGTAATTAAGAGTTGTATGTGTGTGTATTAGAGCATAATGGCTCCACCCATGTTAGTTACAATACGACTTTTCCGTTTTACCCAGAAGGCATTGTTCTGAGCACGCTCTGAACGGAAAGGCAGAGCCCTTTTCTGCAGCAATGGCTGTCAATATACACACCAAAACACACACATGACATGTAATTTCCTGCATTTTTGCCCCCCAGAATCACACGCACTGCTGGGTCTAGTGTTTTTTCTCAAGAGGGGTCGAGAGTTCAAATGTGCATGCATGTGTTTTGAGAAAGTTTGTATGACAACATGGTCTCCGTACTAAGTACACACTTAAACACACATTTTTAAAAAATACAATCTTCCTTAATTTTTTTTAATGTCAGTCTAGGTTTCTTGCACCAAGACCATATTCCACCCTCTTTGACTATTTAGTTTGTTAATGCTAGAAATACACACTTTAAACAGTGTTTTGCTGCTGTACCTTTAAGATTTCGACCTCTATTATGTTGAACACTACAAAGTGCCATACTTCTCACTGTTATTTTTCATAATGGGCTGAAGTTCCTAAATACTGCGTAATTGTTGTGTAAATCTGGGCAGTCTTATGTTAATGACCTCATTGCTGTAATGTCATAATCGTAACGATTTTTTGAATGAGCTGTGCTGCTTAGTTTGTGTCTGTGGGTGAATGGGAAGTGAGCATCATATGTGAGAGTATTTTTTAACAGCAGATCTTTCTTTGAACGGAGATAAATTCAGAAATACACCAGCTGCGTATGTGCAGTGTCTCTCTCTCTTTCTCTCTATAATAATGGCCCATAAAATTCCAATTATGATAAAACCCCACAGACGGGGATTCTAGTTTATGTAATTGCCTGTGGGAGAACGTTTGTTTGGTGATGTTTATCGCCAGAAAGGCTTGTGTATGTTTATTTGTATAGTTTAATTGTGTAGATTATATAAAATGACTCTGATCTTACATTGATTGCAGGTTGTAAATATCCCACCCTCCTCTTTCAGTGACAGATCGTCCCTCTAAACGAATCTGTCATCTCTCTGATAACCAAAACACTGCTGTGAGTTTGTCGGAGATGAAGCCAGAATGAATTTACTGAATTGTCTGGAGTTTTTTGGTCTGTGACAGACAAAAGATTTTTTGATGAAAAGCATCACTGTCTTTTATTCCTTTTGTTTGCTTGTTTTGTGAACTTATCCTTTGTTTTGTTGTTTTCCAGAATCCCAGAAGTCTCACCTCTCCTCTTTTACAATGAAATTGATGAAATTTCATTCCCCGATTAAACGAACTCCATCTAAGAAGAGCAAACAGCTCCAGCCAGAGCCTACGGTGACTACTCCAGAGAAACCTGTCAACAAGGTAGAGCAACTCTATCCACTCCCTTTGAGTTCTACTGTTACACTACTGTAACTCTACATTAATAAATAGTACTTTTTTCACACTTCAAACTCTATAGTAACTCTACTGCTTCTCTATCGCATTAAACATGAACTTTCCACCCTCCTACTTCTACAGTAACCCTAAATAAAACTCTCTCAGCTGCACAGTAACTCTACAGTCGCTCTATATCAATAAATTTTAACTCCCTATTCTCAATTTAACTTCCTATTCTTCAATCACAGACCGTAAACACCCTCCTAACACTACCGTTGCTAAATACAACCCTCTCATAACTCTACAGTTACTCTACAGTCACTGTATAGTTACTCTATATCAGTGATAATCTCTTTACTCTTAATTCTGCAGTAAATCTAGTGCTGCTCTATCAGTGAACATTAACTTTCCACCCACAGAACTTTACCTTAATGTAAACACAACCCTCTCAACTGTACAGTAACTCTACAGTCACTCTATATCAATGAATGTTATGTAACACCTTTACATATTATGTACTCACAACTCTGCAGTAAATCTACTGCTGCTCTACCACAATAAACTTTCCACCCTCCAACTTCTACAGTAACTGTAAATACAACCCTCTCAACTGTACAGTAACTCTACAGTCGCTGTGAATCTAGTGCTGCTCTATGACATTGAACATTAACTTTACACCATCCTACTTCTACTGTAACTCTAAACATAACCCTCTCAACTGTTCAGTAACTCAGCAGTCGCTCTATATCAATATTAACTCTCTACTCTCAATTCTGTAGTAAACCTACTGCTACTCTACCTAAACTCTGCAGTAACTCTGTTGCTGCTTTATCACTGCAAACATCAACTTTGAATCTACAGTAAATCTCTGGCTGCTCTACCACAGTAAACATTTACTTTACACCCCCAGAACGCCACCGTAACCTTACTCCCCCTCTACATCTACATAACTGTATACCCTCTTAAAGGGTTAGTTCACCCCAAAATGAAAATTCTGTCATTAATTACTCACCCTCATGTTATTCCAAACTCACCCTCATGTTAGTCTGTAAAGTTTGAATCAACAGCTTCTTAGCTGTATATTAACACTACGACTGCTCTGTTTCAACTCTACATTAAGTCTATTGCTGCTCTATCACCTTAAAAATCAGCTTTCCACTCTGTCTTTCAACAGAAGGTGAGTCGGTTGGAGGAACAGGAGAAGGAGGTGGTGAGTGCTCTACGTTACTTTAAGACGATTGTGGACAAGATGAACGTCGATACGAAGGTTTTGCAGATGCTTCCTGGTTCGGCTAGTAAAGTATTGGAGGCCATATTGCCTGTGATGCATGTAGAGGCTCGGATACAGCACAGGTGAGTGTACCAGCATTATCAAATCAATAATACCATGGGTTTCTTTGCATGCAGCCCTCACTCCATTTTTCTTAAATTTAAAATCCATCTCTCTAACCGCAGCTCGGCAGTGTCCTCCTGTCATAACCGCGTCTATCAGAGTTTGGCGAATCTCATTCGCTGGTCCGACCAGGTGATGCTGGAGGGCATCGACCTCGACGACAAGGACACTGTGGCAACCGTAACCACGGTGATCAAAGCTGTGCTGGATGGTGTGAAGGTGAGGGGATGAGAAGTGCATGTGACAAGGTTAAAACAACACAGGCATATTTATAACCCGAGGGTGTGTGTTTGTAACAGGAGCTGGTGAAACTCACTATAGAGAAACAGGAGCAACCGACCCCGACGTCCCCGACGTCCCCCAGCAAACCAGTGCCTCCTGTGGCCAAAACGGACAGGTACAGTCGTAAATGCCGATATGAATTTACCCATTTTGCATAGTGACAGTTAATAATGTTTGTCTCTCTATCTCAGTGTGTGTGAAAATCCTCTAACCGAGCGAGAGAAGGCGATCCTGAGTAAGACCACGCCCATTGTCACGCCCACTGACAGCTTGACTGACATGTCAGAGGAAGAGGTTGCTCCGCCCAAACCTCCTCTACCCGGAGTTAAACTGGCAGAGCACAGGTGAGGGGCACGGCTTTAGAAATATGAAAGTATTGTTGTTTGTGCGTTCAGAAAACTAAAAAAGAAATGATAGTTTCACAAAACATTTTTTTAAAAAGTAGATACTACTTTTGGGTTCATTTAGCTCACTTGAAATCAAAAGATTGAGCTTGTCGCATTGTGGGATTGCTTTCTAGTAAATGTAGTAGCTCATTGAAGAATCCCATGCATACAGAAAGTATGTAATAATGATATGTACGCCCAGAATACATATTGAATTTTAGTTCAGTATGCCATTCCAAACAGGCCTTCATATTGGTTGTGTCCCAAATTATTTAACACCTCACTGTTTCCTTTACAGCTGACAGATTAAGGTAAACTTGTGTAGTGTGTAGGATGCATTGATGGGGTGAACATCAAGTGTACTTTAGTGTGCGCTAGTTAGTGTGTGCTGTACTGTATACTCAGGAAGCATTTTAGCATGTACTAGGCAGTTGCAGTATGTAGTATATTTAGTGATGGTAATTTCCCACAGATGAGTCATGTTCATTCTTAAACCTGCTTTTTTCCACAAGCAAGTATCTAAATATATTTGAATGAGAACACATCCGACACACACAGACACACGTGTAACAGCATCCTCTCTCGGTGACGCTTGGCTTCCGAAGCAGAAGTTTGTTTTTCCGTTTACTTTTTGTCTTAGAGACACGTAGTAGTAAAATTGCATCATACACACTTTCTGCAAAGGTCACATATGGATGGTTGTGAGTTGATTTTTACCATCTGATGAGAAGAGGTGTGTGTGGAGGGTGTGTGAAATCATGGTAGCTATTTACGTAAGTCAGAGTACATAGCATATTTAATTCGACATCATTGAAAACTCTCAAAATCTCACGTCTGCAGGTCACATTTAATTCTCATAATTTGTGTGGTTTTGCGATAGAAATGTGTGTAAATGTACATTTTCTATTAATGATGCACCAATAAATCGACTGATATTTAGGGATTTTTTTTTCAGATTCAAATTTTCAATATCATATATAAAATATTTTATTTTATATAAAAATTCGGTTAATATTATGACAAATGTTAATTTAATTAAAAAATTTAATGTATTTAAAATTTTCAATTTAATCTTATTTTGCATTGTTAAATCTAATTATTTATATAATTTATCATTTTTAAATATTAATAATTATTAATAATTATAGCCATGTCAAGTTATTTTGTAGCCTTTTTTAATGTCTAACTATCTATATGCAAAGCTGTTTTTTCTGCATTTATGAAAAATAAATCATTCATCAATAACCTCTGAAGTAGAACAGCCTACTTTACAATCATAATATTGTGCACAGTCAGAAAATAAGTAATTTAACCCATTTTATTGGTAATATGTTTATTCAAGGCTGTTTATTTTCACAATGTCTTTCTCAGTTTGTGAATGTTTGTTTTGTTCTAATTTTAGTAGAAAACCCAATATTAAATAAGTGATTTAGTGTAATACTGTAAATATCTGTAAAAATGTCAAACCTATTATCAGTGTGTCTCTAATATTTTAATATATAATGGTGTTATATTGGCCATCAGCCACCTGCACTCAGTTTTGCATCATTTTGCATCAGTATCAGCCATTATTAAACTCAGCGTGAGATATTGAATGAACTGTACTTCCATCCCTTACAGCCTCATTTCCATTTGCGTAAAATTAAATATAGCATCAACTCTAATTAATGTCTGTTTAGTTTGTTATATACCATGTGATTCTTTCAACCACTGTATCTGTATTTCTCGCAATCTTCTTTGTGTCTTTCAATCACACATCATCTTTGTCTTTTCTGCATTTTCATTCATTTTTGTGCATTATTTTTCTGGAATCGTTTGTTCATCCTCTTTCTCTGTACTCTGTGATCATTTGGTTGTCCTGGGCCAGGAAAAGGATGCAGTTGTGCTCCGATCCTGTTGCCGGGCAGCGGAGGGCCACGGCTATGGAAACGTACGTTAGCCAATGGTGTTCTCTGTGTGCATTTTGACACAACACAGTTACACCCCTCGGCCTCCCTGATTGGATGGCGGCACTTAGCTGCATGTGGTTGTGTGGCAGTGTGCGTCCAATTGGATTGCACGTTGCAGAGTGACGGCCAATCATTGGAAAGTCTGATTTGCAGTGAATTTGCATGGCTGACCAATGAGGACTAGTCTATAAATCCTCAAAGAATGTGAATGGAATTTCTATAATAATTTGTAGGATCCTAATGGGCATATTTTATAACACGCAAGTGAATGTAGAAGTGTAAAAAGTTGTAAATAAAACCGAAATTATAATTTTTCAAATGTTTTTTTTGAAATACTATTTCAGTGTTTTTACTTTTCTTGTTTAATTCAACATGTTTTTTGTGAAATTTACCAGCAATGTCTGAGTGAAATATTTTTTAGTATCATTGATACTATTCTAGTTTTATTAATATTTGAATCAGTTTTTTTATTTTAATAGTTTCATTTTATGTTAATTTTACTAAAACATTTTTTTTATTTTGTTGCGTTTGTCATTTTTAGTATATCGTTTTTTTATATGTATGTTTTTATAGATTTTATTAATTTATTTCAATTTTAGTTTTAGTTATTTTAGTACATGAAGATAATTAAATAAAAATGAGAAATTTTACCTTGGCAACTGCCTGAAATATATATATATATATATTTGTTTATATATATATATATATATATATATATATATATATATATATATATATATATATATATATATATATATATTTTT